GGGAGGGCATGGTCACCCACCAGCAGGGCTGGCTGTCCGGCACCGAGTGGGCGAAGCTGGCGGCCGACTCCGCCGGCAGCGGCTGTTGCCGGGCTTGCTCGCGCATCGCCCGCGCTCAGGTCGCCGTGGGCGAGGCGCCCACGTGAGAGCGTCCCCCGCAGCACAGCCTCCCCGCGCGCGGTCGCCTGTCTGCTCATTCTTAAGGCCTCCCTTGTGTGGTCCGAGTAGACAGGCTCGGTGTATCGCGCCGCATCGCCGATGCATCGGGGATGCAGCTCGATGTGGAGCCCGACTTCCTCCACGCCGGCGTCGTCGATGCATCGTCGATGCTGTGAGCTCCTCCGACCCCATCTTCTCGGACCCAATTTGGGAGGCCTCGAGTTCCGCTCTGCCGCCTGCTTGCTTCCCCCTTCTGCCTCGCAATCGCTCTTCTTACAGTGGAAGGTCAGAGGCGCAAGATGCCATCATAATGATACGTTCCAAGATTTCCAGTATGTCCTAGATTCCCTCACCGAGAGATTCGCGCGGACCTCCGAAAGTGTCTGCTAGTTGATGCCGTGTGCTTTTTTCTCCTAGCTCTGCCGCCTGCTTGTCTCCCCTTTGCTGCCTCGCGCTCGCTCTTCTCACAAGCTGTCACGCCGCGATCGGCACGGGCCGTGGGTCGACGGGCCCGCATATCCTGGCAGGTGCGAGAGTATGTGCGCTGCCCTTTTGTCCCCCAGCCGCGGTCTGGGTCTGCCGCGCGCGTCTTCTTTTGCGTCTCCTTCCCCCTCCGCTCTCGGCTGGCTTCTGCTCCTCCTCCCCCAGATTCCGTTATCGGCGCGCTCGATTGGAACGCTTGGCCGTGGCACGAATAGACGGCCATGTCTAGAATGACCGCGTTTGTCCACACAGCCCTGTTTGGGCACAAGGACTTGCGGGATTCGGCATGCCGTTCTGGCCCAGGAATACAGTGGAATCCCATGCCAATAAACACCATGCTTGCCTCCAGGGTGCTCTGGGTTTCTTGGGTTTCGATGGTTTTGCTATGGAAAGCGCGACGTTCCCACACCAGAAATCAATGGACGTCCTGGGGTCTCAGGGTTGGGTTTCTTGTGGAAGGTTTCTTATGGTCGAGCTCCTCCTGTACTCCAGAGGGGGCCCAGGTTGAGAAACATCCCCCTCGGACGAGACCGAGCGAATAGCTTCTGGCACTGGTTGTCTCATCGCGGCTCCCCCCATCCCACCGTCGGGCACTTTCGGACCCTCGGGCACTTCCCTGAATTCATACTCCATCATCCTCCTCATGGTCATCCCCCTTCTCCTCTTTCACTTCTCTTGCCTGTCCCCACCCTTCCTTCCTCCTCCCCCTCCTCCTCCTCCTCCTCCTCCTCCTCCTCCTCCTCCTCGGTTTTGCCCTGGAGCATGGTGAGAACGGCTTGAACGCCCATTCCATCGCCCGCCGCCGCCGCCCATCCCCCTGCTGCCCCCCGGCCCCCATATGATCCCTCGAGGGCCAGAGGAGAGCCCTCCGGCATGGCATCTTGCGTGCGATGATGCGTCGGGGGTGGACAGACCTCCTACCCTGACACGTCGATTAGCGAATTGGCCGTTTTCGGTTCGCGAGAGGGCGTCGCGGCCGTCAATGTTTGCGGGTCCAGGTCCGTCGGTGTCGGTCCCAGGCCGTTTTCACTAAGGGGAGGTCTACTAAAGGGAGGTTTGTCCACCGCCGAATGCGTCCATCGCCGACCAGGGTTGTGTGCCGCAAGAGGAAGGTGGAATGTCTCGCGCTCGGAAAGGGGTCATTCGTCGTTGTTGATCTCTGCTCGGCGCACCATCTCGTGCTCGGGCGTGTTACACATCTCTCACGGGTCGTTGTCCTGCTCACGCGCCGCTCAATGTTCATGATCCAGTGGCAGGCCATTTTCCCATTCCTTCCATCCCTCCATTCCTCACTATCTTCTGGCGCCCCCATCTTCTCATTCCTACCATTGGCTCCTGTTCCCTTTTTCCATCGCCGGCATTCCATAGTTTCTCTAGCACTTCCACCGACTATCTCATGTTTCCGAACATCGCAGCTCCTTGATCTAACTGCACTTTATCCCTTTTCACGTCATCTTCGAATCCTGGCGTTCTCTTCTTCCTCCCACTCCCCATGTCACACATCTTCGCCCTCCGTCCCTACGACTTCAGGGACCTGAACACACGAAGACTCATTTTGTCCGCCGTCCCTTCCCCTTCCGATGCACCTTCTCCAGCAGAAGGGAGGAAAGACCGCATCAGCGTTGATAGCTATTGCGATCGCTGGTTCCCTTCGCGCCCGCCCCCCTCGCGCCAGGGCAAAGGGTCGTCGTGCGAGGCGTGCGGGAAGGAGAAAGGCATCTGGGTGTGCGTCGTCTGTGGCCACCTCGGCTGCGGGCGATACGACCTCGGGCGGGGCGTGCTCCTCGGGGCGTTCCTCTTCAGGGGATGGTAAAGGTGCGGCAGAGGTTGCTACAATGTGGGGCCCCGATCAGGGCAATCTCAGGGGGGGCAAGGCTTCTAGGCTTAGTTGCCTCGATACGCCCGTTTTGAAACGCAATACGTCCCGTGTTCAAGACGTCCGTGTCAATACGTTGCGTGTTGGCCCCACGTATTGGCCCACGTTTTGGCCAACGTATCGCGTCGGACCTACGTTTCCAGTTCACGTGTTGAACTCCGTATCGATACGCCACGTGTTGCGTGTTGCGTATCGGGGCAGCTAAGCTTCTAGGCTCGAGGCTTTCAATCGTTGTCGTCGGTTCGCGTCACTCCTCCAGCCTTGGGGGGGGCCTTCCAGCAGCTGCCCCCCGCCGAGAGCGCTGCGGAGGGTGTTCCCGAGTCGCACCGAGAGGCCGCAGGAGATCGGGGGCGGCAAAGAGGGGGGTGATGACTAGGGGGGGGATATCATGGTGGGGGCCATGATATTTCCCCAGATTTCATGGCGCCTCTTCTTATTTCATTACGTCCCCAGCTCCCCCCCTGGGCCGCGCACATGCCGCCGGTCATGATGTGCACCCCCCCTCTTGGACACCCCCTGTTGGCCGCTCCCGATGAGAGTGGCTCGAAAACCAGGGGGCCATCCGCATGCGATGTGTCGGTTGCTGCCTCAGATCTCGACGCTCGGGAGTCCCAGCCACATGTTGCTCCGCTGTCCCGTGATCATCCTGCCCTTGCCGCATGCCGAGTCCCGCGGGAAGCTTTGGAATTGGGGTGTCTGGCGAGCCTGGCCGAAATCATTGCACGGTAGCTACAAGCTGGCCTCACCGAGGTCGTAGCTTTGAGGTGTCCGTGTTCGTCTTCCCTCTCCAACTTTGCGCTGATACCCCAGAACAGCCATGTCAGAACAGTTTCGGCGGCGAGCCCAGGGGGTAAGTGAAAGGTGGCAGGCCTTCTGAGAACGCGGCGGTGGTTCCCAGAAGCCTCCGCGCCTTTCGAGAAGCCGCCTGCAGCTTCGGGAGAAGGCCCACAAGGCCTCTCAGAAGTGTCGCGAGGGCTTCTGAGATGCCCCGCAACCTTCTGAGAAGGCCTGCCCACTCTCACCTCCCCTCTCATTCCTCCTCCTCCTCCTCCTCCTCCTCCTCCTCCTCCTCCTCCTCCTCCCTCCTCCTCCTCCTCCTCCCTCCTCCTCTCCTCCTCCTCCTCCTCCTCCTCCTCCTCCCCTCCTCCTCCTCTCCTCCTCCTCCTCCTCCTCCTCCTCCTCCTCCTCCTCCCTCCTCCTCTCCTCCTCCTCCTCCTCCTCCTCCTCCCTCCTCCTCCCTCCTCCTCCTCCTCCTCCTCCTCCTCCTGCTCCTCCTCCTCCTCCTCCTCCTCCCCTTGCTCGCCGCCGACAGTTGGCGTGAAAGGGGCTCCTGCGAGATCGCCAGCACGCACCCCCGCCTGTGGGAGGCGGGGTTCCCGGAGGCAACGGGTCCTGGATCCTTGGGGTGCCAGCCGCGGCCCTCTCCCGCCCAGCGCAAAGTCCCTTCTCAAGCCAGGAGGGAAATAAGCACACAGACACGACTGAATCGTCGATCCCTAGGAAAATATTGGAAAATGTGGGAAGTGGAGGTAGAAGACGAAGATCCAGAAAATGTGCGAAGGTACGGGGGATCCTGGGAGTTGTGTCTATGCATTTGCGTGTCCCTGGGCCTCTTCATAAACCAGTCTCCAGACCCTTCTCAGGGTCCATGGTGATTCGTTGCTTGAGGCGGATTCAGCCCTGGCGACGATCGGCGGCGAGCAAGGGGGGGAAGTGAGAAGGAGTAAACCTTCTCAGAAGGCGGCGGGACTTCTCAGAGGCCCTCGTGCCTTCTGAGAAGTTGTCTGCGTCGTCGGGGACGGCTCCGAAAACTTCTCGGAGGGCCGGGGGACGTCCGAGCATTCCGAGAAGGCCTTCTCCTTCTCGTTTCCCCCCTCTCTCTCCGCCGAGACGAGAAGCATAAAAACTAGGAGGTCCGCGCGGATTTCTCGGATCGGCGCCGCTCCAGGCGCGCTCCGCGCGCCAGGGACGGGGGTCCAGCGCCAATCCGAGCAATCCGAGCGGACGTCCAAGTTTTGATGGTTGTGTCATTCTTCGCTCCCCTAGAGACGAGAAGCTGCTTGGAGGCCCAAAGTCGGGTATAGCCAGGACCCCGGTTAAGGGGGGAGCCGGTTAGCGATTTGGCCCCGAAGCCCAAGATATGCATTGGAATCACTAGACCAGGTTTGCCGCAGCTGGTGCTTTTCGGGTGACGGCCATCCCGTTTAGCGGAATGGGACGGCGGGGGGGGGGTCCCCGGTACAGACCACTAAATCTGATCCCACTAAACCCAGTCCTGCCATCGCCCGACAAAGGAGAGCGAAGATCGCCAGGGAGGGCCGCCGTGGCCTCAGCGGGCCCTCCTCTGAGCGGGTTTCTGCCCCGCGGCGGGGGCGGCGCGCTTGCAGGCGAGCCGAGCGGGCGCCGCGGGGTGGGGGGGGCAGGCACGCCAAGGACCACGCCACGGACCTGCGGCACCGCTTCTGCCTCGAGCTCATCACAGGAAGGGGGGGCAGGGTCGGGGGCGGCCAAGACGAAGGTGATGACTTGCGTTTCGAACCCAAAGAACTTGCTTCTGGAATTCAGAAAACCACGCCACGGACCTGCAGCACCGCATCTGCCGCGAGATCACCACAGGAAGGGGGGCAGGGTCGGGGGCGGCCAAGACGAGGGTGATGATTTTTTTGAGTTCGAATGACTTGTTTTTTGAATTCAAGAAACCACGCCACGGACCTGCAGCACCGCTTCTGCCTCGAGCTCACCACAGGAAGGGGGCAGGGTCGGGGGCGGCCGTGACGAAGGTGAGGCTTCGTTTTTTGAGTTCGAAAAACTTGATTTTCTGAATTCGAGAAACCACGCCACGGACCTGCGGCACCGCTTCTGCTTCGAACTCACCACAGGAAGGGTTGAGTCGGGCATGTCCCTCTACAGGAGGACTATTCCAAAATAGTCAACAAATTAGTCTGGGGGCGATTTCTGATTATCCTTGGATAATTTTCGGGCATTTTGAGGCCATGTTTCATTTTTCCTCCAAAGTGCGCCTGTAGGGGGACATGCCCGGCCTAAAGAAAGGGGGGGGGTCGGGGGGGGCCAACGCTTGTGGGCTCGGCGCGGGGGTTCCTGGGGCTTGGCAGCGTCGTCCGCGCCCTGCTTCTGCATGTCCGAGCTCCGTAGCTGCCTGCACGCCCTCCTTTGCTCAGCTGCGTTCTTGCTCGTATGGACACTGCGCAGGCCTGACGAAAGCTTGAGAGGTCCTTTCCAATGTGTGTTCTGCCTCCGGGGAGGGGGAGGGGGCGGAGGCGGCCAAGACGAGGTTGATGACCGAGGTGGGGCGACGTCATGGCCTGGGCAATGATGTCTCCCACATTCCCTGGCACCCTTCTCTTTCTTATTATCATTGCTGGTGCTTCTGCTTACTTCTGGACGTCCCCTGGCCCCCCCTCATCCGCGCACACGCCTCGGCCCATGATGCGCACATACACACACACACACACACAAACACAAACACAGACACACAAACACACACACACACACACACTTTTTGCGTCGGCGGCTGGGCAAAAGGCGACTGCTCCGGCGGGCAAGCAACAGGGGACGCGCTGCACGCAAATTAAAGCCGCGATGCACGAGAGAGGAGGAGGAGCCCCTGCGCGACAGGGGGAGAGGAAGCCGGGCCCATTCAAACACACACACACACACACACTCTTCCATTTCCCCATGTTCGGCGCACCCGAGGGAGGAGAGGGGATTGCACATATAACCGCAGTGAGGCGGCTGGTGCAGACCTGGTGCAGACACGCTCCGGCGCGAACGGGCGCAGAGCGCCTTGAGGACGAGGCAGCGTACCAGATTATTTGCAGGGGCACGCAGTGCCCCCCCTCCCTTCCTGCATCTCCTGTCTCCTCCCCCATGCATGACTCCCCTGCTCCTACCTCCTCTCACACTTCTCCTTTGCTTATCCATCCTTCCTCCCTCCTCCCCCACCTTCTCCATTTATCCAACCCCTCTCTCCCTCTTGTCTGTCTTCTTCGACACGCTTTCGGCGCAACCACTAGCGTCAAAACCCATCGTTCCCCCACCTCCTCCTCCTCCACGTCCTCCTCAATTAATTCCCTTACAGATCACTCCTCCATGTCTGACCACCAAACGAATCGGTGGGGCGGGTCCGGCGTTTCGTTTGAGCCTTTCTCACAATTTGTGACCCCGAAAGCTGGCAGACTCAAAGCTACAAGGATGGAGGGAGGGTCGTTTTCGAAATGGAGGTCTCGCCTGAGCGCCACGTGCACTCGTTTGTTTTGGCTTGTCACAGCTACCTGCAAGTATGGAGGGCGGTTCGTTTGCAAAATGTGGCTCTCGCTTGAGACTTCCTTCGAAGTACAGACCGAACAGTTGAACTGGTGTAGCAGCTGCACGGATGGATAGTGGTTCCTTTTCGAAATGGGGCCTTCGCTTGGGCTGTTTCGAAGTAAATGACCAGAAACGTAAATCTGTGCAATAGTTGCACAGATGGGGGCGATTGTAAGAGGCCTACGCCATTCCGCCGACTCCCAGAAGAGGGGACGCGTGGCTTCAGATATGGGGTGTGTTGTTTGACAGTTCCCGTCATGCTGCCTGCATGTAACCGCAGAGGGTCTTAAATGTTGGGCCACCCTTCCATTTAGCTTTCGGATGGGCATAAAACTCGTCCATCCACTCCTCGTCCTTCTCTTCCTCATCCTCTCCCTCGTGCCTCCCCCCAATGGGCGTCTTACATCTATATTCATCTATAGGAATACATGTCTACGCAGTCTGCTAGCATCCACATCATCAAAGGTTCTCTCTGTAGGCACCCCCGGGCGCCAGCGAATATCTTATCACTACTGTTCGCCTGTAAGCTGTTGTTGGGCGGTTGTTCCTCCCAGCGGATAACGCCTCCTGGGCTACCCTGCAGGACAGAGGAAGGTTGAGCTTGTGTGTACAAGGATTGTAAGATAAGTCGCTACGTCTCCCATCGAGTCGGCGCTTCGTCTTCGTCGCCGTCGTGATCGTCGTCGTTTTCCCATGGGGCTCGCGCAAGTGATCGTGCGCAGTACGAGTTCGCCGTAGTAGTAGTAGTAGTAGCAGTAGCAGTAGCAGTAGTAGTAGTAGTAGTAGTAGTAGTAGTAGTAGTAGTAGTCGTCGTAGTCGTAATCGTCGTAGTCGTAGTCGTAGTAGTCGTAGTCGTAGTTGTCGTAGTAGTAGTAGTAGTCGTAGTAGTAGTAGTAGTAGTAGTAGTAGTAGTAGTAGTAGTAGTAGTAGTAGTAGCAGTCGTCGTCGTAGTCGTAGTCGTAGTCGTAGTCGTAGTCGTAGTCGTAGTAGTAGTAGTAGTAGTAGTAGTAGTAGCAGTAGTAGTAGTAGTAGTAGTAGTAGTAGTAGTAGTAGTAGTACAGGTAGTAGTAGTAGTAGTAGTAGTAGTAGTAGTAGTAGTAGTAGTAGCAGTAGTAGTAGTAGTAGTACAGGTAGTAGTAGTAGCAGTAGTAGTAGTAGTAGGAGTAGTAGTAATGTTAATAGTAGTAGTAATAGTAGTAGTACTACTACTACTACTACTACTACTACTACTACTACTACTACTACTACTACTACTACTAGCAACAGTAGTAGGAGAAGGAGGTAGTATAAAAAAAGTAAGCACGCGAGTGCGATGACGACGACGGCGGCGTCAACGTTTACGGCGACGGTTTGGGTGGTGGCCGCCGCGATGAAATACATAGTTTCAAGTTCTCTTGGGGTCCCCATCCGTCAGCAAGCCCGCGGAAGAAACAATTAGATTCCAAGTACTGAAAGTGGGGTACTCAAAACCCGTTGCGGCGTATTGTTCGTGATTCGTGTTCTTCTTCCTCCGCTTCTGTTGCGGGGGGTTTTGGGGGGTGGCCTCTTGGATGCCCAAGGGGCAGCCTCTTGGAGCTTTTGTCATGGCTCCCCGGGGGCTGTTGAAGCCCTCTGGGGGCTTCTTGGAGGCCTTTCGAGAGCATTTGGGGGGCATGTTGGAGGTCGGTGGGCCATCTGTTGGTGGGGGACTCCCAGAGCCCCTGCGGACCCCCCATATTTGGCATCTCTTGGGCCCCTCTTCGGGCCCTTTTTGAGGGTTCTTGCTACCGCCTTGGAGGCTGTTTGGGGGCCGTGTTGGGCAACTTCGGGGCATATTTCGGAGCCTTCTTCGGAGCCTCTTAAGCAGTCTTGGGCCAAATTGTTGGCCTTGTGCGCAGTTTTGGGCCTGCAGATGCCTGAATTTGCGAGATGCGAAGATCATGCAACAACACTTGGGGAATCAATGATTTGACTTTTTGAGGTCCTCTTGGGGGTCCTCTTGGGGCACTGTTTCGACGCCTTGGGCTGCTTTGGGGCTATCTAGGGCGTTCTTGTGGCCTCTCTGGAGCGTTGGGGCCTCCCTGAAGTCATTTGAGAAAGCAGTTTGGGCATCGTGGCGGCCACGGAGGGTTGAGTCTGAGGCTCCGAGGGCCCCAGAGGTGCGTTTGGGAGCTCCCCCCCCAAACGGTATGTTGGATCCCAGGGGAGGGACAAAGGGGGCGAGGGGACAGCAAATCATGCCACACTCCATCTCGAAGAGGGACCTCGCGGGAGACGTCGTTGGATTGCATGGTCACAGTTTGCTCGCATCCGTTACCGTTCGCAGGAAGGATGCAAGGCAGTTTTTTTTAGAAGGTGGCTCTCGCCCGCATGGCAGGCCCATTGGGTGCGGATCGTTCAGGGGGCCATTTCTTGCAGTGGAAAAGAAGGCAAGCAGGGACTTTATGAGGAGGGGCACTCGGGATGGGATTGCACGTTGCAGCATCATTGATGGATCTTGGGTTTATTCTGGTCCTCCTACCCCCCTTCCTCGCGAGTACGTCTGCGATTCGCGTATCTCTGGTCTCCCTGCCAGCTTCGGTGCAGCCACAGGCTCACAATTCCAGCTTCCCTTTGCTCGGGGAGAAGCGGTTCCTTGCTGCATCTCGTGGCTCCCTCCCCTCCTCGGTGGATTCATTCGATCGGCGTGTCCCCTCCCCTCCTCATCCTCCTCCCCCTCCTCCCCTCTCCTTCCCCACCCCATGGACACTGACATGCTTACACACAGCGGAGAGCCGACATACCTCGGCAAGGCAACTACATTCCAAAACGCCTCGGCGACAGAGATCCAGCATCGCATGCGGGCTTCATGGGCATACTTCACAAGACACATACAAGACCTTACGAGCAAACACTACCCACTCAAGCACAGACAGCGACTCGACCGCGGTACCGTCACACCCACAATGATGTGCGGCGCAGACACGTGGACGTGGATAAAGCCTTTTGAGACAACAGCTTCGCCGCACACAGCGATGGATGGTCAGGGCGATAATTGGGACACCGCGACGGAAGCCTCACCGACGCACGCAACACCAACGAGGGGCATAGCAAACAACGGCGATTTCGACGCCAACACCTGCGAGACGACTCCAGCGAAGCGCATCCAGCAACCCACCGATTCCGCCAGACCTGCCA